TCCACGATATTAACCATCCAAAGAAGAAAAATCACACAATTATATGGGTCATAGATCTAAATGTAAAACTTAAAACCATACATATTTTGGAAGACAACATAGAAGATCTTTGTTGCCTGGGGTTAGAACTTCTAAGATATGATACCTCAAGCATAATGAATGAAAGAAAAAATAATAAATTTGGAATTTATCAACATTAAAAGCTTTGCTTTATAATATACATTGTAAAGGGAATGAGAAAAAAAAAACCCTCCAGCCTAGGGGAAAATATTTGCAAATACAAAGGACTTGCATCCAAAATACATAAAGATCTCTCAAAACTCAACATAAGAACAAGCAAGCTACAGAATGGGTAAGAGATCGGAATGGACATTGGACCATGGACAGATGATACCCAGACAGTGAGTAAGCACAAGAAGAAATGGTCAACATCCTTAGTCATTACTGAAATGCAAATCAAATCCATGATGAGATATCACCACACACCAGTTAGGACGGCTAAAACTTCAAAGAAAAATTGGCAAGTGTTGGGCAAGAAGTAAGAGTGGAAATCCTATATGGCTCACGGGAAGGCAGCATCATGGCCACTTAGGAAACCAGTTTCCCGTTTCCCATAAAGCTCAACATATACTTATTATATGGCCGCTCTATCCTACTCCTGCATTATTTGCCCAAGAGAAATGGAAATTTAGGAACACACAGAAATCTGTACATGAATGTTCAGAAGAGGATCTATTCACATTCACCTCGAAATGGAAACAACCAAAATGTCCTACAAGTGAATGAGTAAACAATGGAATACAACCCAGCAGTGGGGAAAAAATACTGAACTATTAATACATGTAACTTGGACGAATCTCAAAGACATCATGATGAGGGCTGCCTGGGTGGCTCAGTCAGTTAGTTAAGCATTTGACTTCGGTTCAGGTCATGATCCCAGGTCCTGGGAGGGTGCCCCATGTCTGGCTCCTTGCTGAGCGGGGAGTCTGCTTGTCCCTCTGCCCCTCTCCCATTCATGCTCCCTCTCTCTGTCTCTCTCAAATAAATAGATCGATAAAATCTTTGAAAAAAAAAAAAGATGCCATGAGGAGTGAAAGAAGCCACTATCAAAAATCAGGTATTACTTTGTTTATAAAACAACCTTGAAAGGACGAAACTACAGGGATGGGGAGCAAATCAGTGGGTGCCTGTGTGGTAATTCCACACAGAGAAATTGGAGTAGTGGTGGAATTGAGGACAGAAAGACAGCCTGAGGGGCACCTGGGTGGCTTAGTCAATTAAGCGTCTGACTCTTGGTTTCCGCTCAGGTGGTGATCTCGGGCTCCTGGCATGGAGGCTCCCGTCAGACTCTTTCATTCAGTGCGGAGTGGCTGGGTATTCTCTCTTCCTCTCCCTCTGCCCCTTCCCCTGCTTGTGTGCTTTCTCCCTCTTTCTAATAAAATAAAATAAAATAAAATAAAATAAAATAAAAATCTTTTTTAAAAAGGATAGCCTGAGAGAATTTGGGGGAGTTGGAACTGTTTTGTATCAGATTACGGTATGATTACGTGAATGTATACCTGTGTTAGAATTTAGGGAACTGTATACCAAAGACAGTCAATTTTACTGTATGATAATTTAAAAAATAAAAAAAAGAGAATATAAAAGACAACAAAGCATCGTCAAAGGTGAAAACCACCACTAGCTTCTCCCAGTTATCTATGTACTGTCCCTAAACACATAAAATCCTATATTTTCCTTCCCACTATGTTTTTATTTATTCATTTAACACACACCGATCTACCACCTAATATAAGCCAAGTGATTTAGAAATAATTATGTAGGAATTCTAACTGATGGGAAGAACTTAAGACAAGCAGTCCCTTCTCCTGTGGGGTTTTTCCATGAGGAAAATTTTCTTATCAATATATTTATAATGCTGAAAATAGTATGAAAGCAACGCATGGAGAACAGAGCTGTTTTCCTACAATAGCGTCCTGACAAGGGGAAGGTAGATTTTAGAGATATGGAAAGTGACCTGAGGTTCAAGGTAGCTTCTAGAGATACAGACACAGAGCTGAGGTTGAGTGACAGGTCCAACACTGCGCAGCACGTTAGAATTAAAACACAGCTCTTCAGATTCCCAGGGCTAGGGCTTCAGATCCATTCCAAAACATTTTGTGCTAATGTTGCAATATGTTTCAAGAATCCTAAAATTGTTCAGACCTCTGTTCTAGTTATTCCATTTCTGGGAATCTAAGGACATATCGTGAAATGTGGGCACATCTTTATGCAAAAGACTTTTAGTGCGGTGTTATTTACAGCAGTTAAAATCTGGAAGTCTAGACTCAAGATATAAGGAAAACCGTGTATGCAATGGCCTAACTTTATCAACATTTACAAGCAGCATAAATTATTTGGAAACATGTTGGAAACAATGTTAAATGAAAAGAACAGGATCTAAAATTTTACACATAAAATAATCCTAACTGGGGGGCCCTAGGTGGCTTCGTGAATTGATCATCTGACTTTTGGTTTCAGCTCAGGTCATGATCTCAGGGTCGTAAGATCGATCAAGCCCTAAGTCGGGCTCTGCATGGAGTCTCCTTGAGATTCTTCCTCCTCCTATTCCATCCCCCCTGCTCCTCCCCCTGCTTGTGCTCTCTCTCTCTCAAATCTATTTAAAAAAATAATCCTACCTATATTTTTAAAAGATAGTTCTCGAGAAAGACCATGCAAATACCAACGATGAAAGGAAACACTGGTATAACATTTCTAGGTCTGTTTCAATAACATTAAAAATGAGCCACCCAGGCCAACGGGGCGCCTGGGTGGCTCAGTGGGTTAAGCCTCTGCCTTTGGCTCAGGTCATGATCTCAGGGTCTTGGGATCGAGCTCCGCATCGGGCTCTCCACTCAGCGGGGAGCCTGCTTCCCCCTCTGTCTCTGCCTGCCTCTCTGCCTACTTGTGATCTCTCTGTCAAATAAATAAAATCTTAAAAAATAAATGTACCCAACCTTCTCCAAAGAAGACATACAGAGGGCCAAAAAGCATATGCAAATATGCTCAGTATAATTAGGCATTAGGGAAATACAAATCTAAACCAGCATGCGCTACCACTCCAGCTGCACTAGGATGGCAACAATAGCAACAATAACAACAAGGGAAAATGACAAGGACTGGCAACGATGTGGGGCAATTGGAACCCTTGGGCGTCGCTGAGTGGGGATGCAGAGCGGTACCACTGCTGTTGCAGACTGTTTGGCTGTCTCTCACAAAGCTGAGCACAAATTTGCTGAATGACCCCACAAACCTACCGCTGGGAATACACCCAGGGAACCAAAAGTGAGTGTCCAAGCAGGTGCTCGTCCTAGCGGCACTATTCACGGTTGCCAAAGGGTGGAGGCAGCCCAGGTGTTCATCAACTTTACAAAGTGTGTTTACGAAGTGTGGCAGCGTGTCCATGCCAATGAGAACAGAATATGACTCAGCCATAAAAAGGAATGGACTAGCTTTTAAAATGGGAGGGGAAAAAAAGAAATAGTGCAAATGTACAGTGCCACAGGGATATGCCCAGCAAACATTGTGCTGGGTGAAGAAGCTGGACACGGGGGGCCACAGATGGCATGATGTCATTTAGTGAGTGTCCCAAACAGACGAAACCATGGCCAGAGAGTGGACTGGTGGCTGCCAGGAGCTAGGAGGCTGGGGAGGGGCAGGGAGTGACTGCTTGGTGGGGACGGGACTCACTGTCAGGGTGATAAGCGTGTACTGGAACGGGATGGCGTGACGGTGGCAGGGCACTCTGGATGTATGAAATGTCACTAATGGTAACTGTCTCACGTGTATTTTACCAAAATAAAAAAAAATACATAAACTTTGTCACACCACTTCTACTAGAAGTTTATTCTAAAGATAACATCATGAATGTGGCCAGGATTTTACAAGACAGTGTTCACTGTGGAAGTATCATTGCTATTATAAACAATGGCAGAAGTTTGAAATCACCCAAATGCCTAACGAATGGGGCTCAGTTAAATGAACAAGGGCTGACACTGGAAGGCCGTGTAATTACTAAAACTTCTGCTATAGAAGTTTAATGACAAGATGTTAGTAGAAGTCAAAGTGAGAACAATTTATCTCCTTCCCTCCAAAGTCTGTGTGTGTATGTGTGTAGATGAATATCCCAGGTAAAACACACACACACACACACGCACGCACACATAGAATGAAAGGGATCTATATCAAAGTGGTAACAGGAATTACATACAATTTTAATTTTCTCAATAAGAAAGTAATAAGTACTAACAATTGTTCACTAAGTATCTTGTGAAATATTAGGTACTGTTCTAAATCTTATCTATCTGTGCATCAAATCATTTAATTCTCATAAAGACCCTATAAACGAAGTTAACCCAATTCTTCAAGGGTACACAGCCAGTGAGAGTAAGAGGAGAGGCGGGGATCCCAACCCAGGGACTGCACCTGGAGAGCCTGAGGTCCTCACCATGATGCTCTAAGATCATTTTGTTTAACCTATAGATTCTAAACTTTTATGATGGTCATATCACATTATAAAAGGGAAAAAAAGTATTTGAAAAAAATAACCTAACTATAAATTTTAAGACCTGTCATTGTTGTAGGAAAGGAATATAGATATTTAAAAATCCTATTTGTCTAGATTTTTCAAATTTCCTTTAAGGAATATGAATTGCTTTTAAAATGGAAAGGGGAAAAAAAAAATTTCTCCACTAAGGTTAGACAAAGCACGGTGTCAATTTTAAAGTCATGTCCAAAAGGACAAGTCCAAGGACCCTGAAGTCTCCAGCCCTGAAGCAGCCAACTCTTTGTGGACTAGAGGCATGAGGGGGCAGCCAGAGGCAGGGGGAGGGCTCAGCGGAGGGAGGGAGGGGCTAGAGACAGGAGGTGGGAGCCAGTGGGAGTCCCCTTGTGAACTCAGAAGGTGGGGACAAAAGAAGGGGCCCTCCACACCCTTGGTAGCGAAGAATCTCCATCCTTACCTTGCAGGGTCTCCTCATGCTGGCCTTCCAGGACTCTTCTCTGTTCATCTAGTTTCTCTCGAAGCTCTAGCTTCCTGTCCTCCTCCGCCTGGGGACAGGAGGTAGCCCCCAGCATGAGAGTGAGCAGGTTCAATGCAGCCCCCCTTACTCACACACCAGCCCCTGGAGCTTTGTAGAGGTTGGTGATTAGAGTCCCATCCCATCATCTGAGCGATGGAAATGACCTGAGCTCAGAGTGGGCACAAGACCATCAGGACACAGCAGGTGTCACTGACTCTGCCTTCTTTAGATCTTAGAAAGGGGCTCCCAGAGAACTGTCTAGGTGGGAGGGATGTAGGAGTCTTCTAATCTTGACGCCCACTCCAGGCAGGAAGTCTTTCTACCATGTTAGCGTTTCCCGATCTTGCACTGCATACAATGAATATAATGAATTATATGCAAACAATTACAAATATTTATTCAAAAGATAAAGAACCTCCTTCTTGATAAAGTCATAAGAGGTAGTTAGAACACCAAAATCCAAAGGTGGTCCTCATTCTGGCATAGAGCAAGGTTGGCTGAGCAAGAGGAAGAGAGAAGTGTTGTGTGTCACCTGGTCTCACCTGTTGTGTCCATTTCTTCCTGTCCTCTTCGTGTTGCAGGAGAATTCTGGTTATCTCCTTCTGGTACTCCTCAGCCTCCTCAGATGCGCAGAACTGGACGGCTGGGGCTACAGGTGAGGAAGCAAAAAATTCACACAGAGCTGGGGTGAGGCCGGGGTCTTCCCTATGGGAAGCCAGGGCGAAGGGGTGAGAACTCCAGGCTCCACCTCAAGAAGGGTGTCCGTTGGGAGCAACCTCCAGTGGCAGCCACTCACATCTCTCTGGCTTTGGAGACCCTCCTCAGTGTGGGGGCCAGTGGTCTCATTCTGCCCCCTATGATCCGCAGCAGAGCTGGTAACTCACAGGATGGACTCAGCCCATAACAATGCTGTTTGCTCGCACAAATATCTAAAGTAAAAAAAGGGGGGCACCTGGTTGGCTTAGTCAGTTAAGAGTCTGCCTTTGGCTCAGGTCATGATCCCAGGGCCCTGGGCTCCCTGCTCAGTGGGTAGTCTGCTCCTCCTCCTCCCTGGCCCCCCAACTTAGGCTTTCACTCTCTCTCTCTCTCAAATAAATAAATAAAATCTTTTAAAAAATGAAGTAAAAAAAAGTTGCCAAGACTTAATAACTGGGCAACTTTTACTTCATACACAGATTTCCAAGTTTTCTTGAAGAAGCCAAAGGCCTGGCAGTGTGTACCTTCATGCCAACCAGGGCCCAAAGCCGAGGCACAGCTGTCTCCTGCTTCATCCGGAATGGGGCTCTGCTGTTTGCCACAGACCTCGCCTGTCTCTCCTGAGGGGCCACTTCACCACCCGCTTTGCCTGCTGGGACCTGTGAGTGTCTGAATGTGGGACACCTGACCTTTAGCATCCCCCCCCACCAAAATGGAGGCAGAGGGGCTGCTGTGAGTGGGAAGCAGATGCCAACGGGCAGTCTAGCCCTTGCTTATGGAACCTCCAGAAACGGGCCCTGCCAATGCCACTCTGAGTCCAACAGGCTCTGGGTGTGCCCTAAGGCATGTCCCACCCTCTCTGAGCCTCAGTTACCCAATATGGGAAATCGGGATAATAATAACACCTAGCCACAGGACTATGGAGATGATCAAATCAGGAAATGATGGCGACAGAAATAACACCAGCAAGGTAAGGAATACTGAGAGCTTACCATGCCCAGGCACATGCCAGCCTTGTTCCAGGGGCCTCATGGGGAACACGCAGTCCTCACAACAACCCAGTGTGGTGGGGACTACGTTTATCCCCATTTCACAGAAGAGGAAACTGAGGGACAGAGAAGTTATGCAACTGGTGCAGGATCACACCGTTCATAGTCGGGGCCCGGGCTGGAACCTGCACAGTCTGATCCCATGGCAAGACCTCTTGACGGCCACCTCATCCTGCCTGCTGATGCACACAGAGCAGGAAGCATCATGCCAGGCATTTAGAAATTGCTCAATAAATGTGCTGCTTTGTTAACTGAATGCTCGCTGGAGAGTCATTATTGCTCCTGACAACCATTAGAGGGGGTGGCATCACGGATGTAGTTGGCATTGTCATTAATGGTCATATTATTTTTGCAGAGCACAAGAGACAGGGTTGGCAAAGAGCATGAGGAAAAAGCTGAGGAGTGGGGCTGCTAGCCAGGAAGCCAGCCCTGGCCTGCCTGTCAGGATGGGGGTTGGAGGGAGCGAGTCAGTGCCCTGGGTCCTGGGGGATAGCTGTAGTCAATTTCAGAGAACCCCAGACTCTCATAAACCACTGGGCTCAGGGTCCCAAATGTTGGTCCACAAGACCAGTATCTGGACCAGCCCCGGCCAAGGAGAGGCTTAGAACAAAGACAGACTGTCACCACCAGGACGGAGTCTTCAGCCCCACTCCCAGAGACTCTTGTTGAGCTGGTCTGCGGCAGGGCCCCAGAATGAGTATCTTTGAAGTTCCCCCAGGTCATTCTTGTGCACAGGCAGATTACAGAGACTCTGAATTCGGGTCCAGTTGCTTATCTGGTACTTAAACGTCATCTACAATGGCCCCGCCAGTCTCCAGTCTGTAACTGAACCCTTTCAGAGATGGAGAGCTCATTTCATTACTAGGTAGCTCTGGAGGTTTTAAATCAACAATCACACAAAACATCTTTTGAGATTGAACTGAATTCTGCCTGCCTGTTTCTGCCACCTTGAGGCCTTTGTACTGACCTCTGGGTCACACTGAACAAGGCTTATCTTTCTTCTCTCTGAGGGCACTGCAGACACTTGGGGAGACCTGTTATGTTTTACTGCAACATCTTCTTTCCAGGTAAAACATCCTTTGCTCCTTTAAGTCCTCCTTACAGTACTGGGTTCCAGATTCCTCACCAGCCTGATCTGTCTTCACTGTTCTCCCTCCAATTTTTCTGGATTCTCCTGAAAAGGTACTTTCCAGAAATAAACTCAGCACTCCAGGTGTGGTATCAATAGCCAGGAAGAGGCAAGTACAAGTCAGGAGTATCACCTCCTTGATTTTAGACATGATACTGCTATTAATGTAACCTACCTAAGATCTCATGAGATAATTAAATAGTTGTATCAGCTTTGTTGATTATAAAGTAGGAAACCTCATGGAGGGTAGGGAGGGCATTAATGGGGCTGGCTACTCACCTGTATCCCCATTGAGGGGACCTAGTTCCTGTGGCTCTGGTCTGGGTGGCTGATCTGGTTTTTGGCGCCTCTGAAAGAAATGAGACAACAATGAGGTGAAGGTAGAGGGTAGGAGGTCAGTGTAAGGATGGATGCTATAGTAGGATCCTTCCAAAGGCAAGACAGGACCAACATCCAGCTTCGCCAAACCTTGCCTTGGATCTAGTTACTTAGGCTGCCTCCCTCACTAGCCAAAGGCAGCACTCCCTCTGTGGAGAAGGGGTTCCCCGAGTAGGATTTCTCATCATCTCCAGGGAAACCCTCAGTGGGGAGTTTGCTGCTGGTTGACCTCTCCTTAGATTCTCGTGGTTTGTGCCATCATCCATGAGGCCCTCCACACCTCTTCTTTCTTCCAGCTCTTGGCCAGACCTTTTGCTATTACCCTCAACCCAATTACAGCTGAAACTTCCCAACCTCTAGTTCAGAGACAATTACACTTTCCTCTCAGGAACTATGGTTACCACGACTTCTTTCCAAGTTCCCTGTATTCGGGGCAAAGCATCAGAACTCCAAGCTGTGGGGTGGGGGGTGGGGAGCGCCCAGGTGGCCCAGTCGGTTAAGCATCCAACTCTTGGTTTAGGCTCAGGTCATGATCTCAGGGTCCTGGAATCGAGCCCGGTGAGTCACTCCATGCTCAGCTCAAGAGTCTGCTTGTCCCTCTCCCTCCCCTTCTGCTCTTCCCCCCTGCTTGTACTCTCCATCTCTCTCTCAAATGAGTAAATAAATTCTTGAGGAAGAAGAAGAAGGAGGAGGAGGAGGAGGAGGGGGAAGAAGAGGAGGAGGAGGAGAGGGAGGAGGAGAAGGAGGAGGGGGAGGAAGAGGAGAGGGAGGAGGGGGAGGAGGAGGAGAGGAAGAAGAAGAAGGAGGATGATGATGAGGAGGAGGAGGAGAAGAAAAAGAAGGAAGAGGAAGAGGAGGAGGGAGGAGGAGGGAGGAGGAGGGGGGAGAGGAGGAGGAGGGGGAGGAAGAGGAGGATAAGGAGAAGTCTAGGCCATGGTTCTACCATGCTTATTCTTTGTTAGAGGGATGTTTTGCCAACGATAAGGAGGTAGCGGTATCTCCCTTGACAGGTGGGGGGAAGACACCATACTCATGATGTACTAGGCACTATGATGTCTTACCCACACTATCTTCAAAATGATCCTGGGAAACAGGAATATCCGCAATTTACAGAAGAGGAGGCTGGGGCTAAGGGAGGTGAGGACTCAGTCAAGGTGGTTAGTGAATAACTGGCAGAGTCAAGGGCTTGAGCCATCTATGGGCTTTTTCACCAACCTGAGCCAGTACTAGTTGAATCTAATCAAAGTAGGAAACTATGCCAAAGGGCTAAATCCCAAAGCAGAGTCAGTGGCTCCAAGATTTTCAAGTTTCGTAAATAATATATATTTTTTAAGATTTTATTTATTTATTTGACAGAGATCACAAGTAGGCAGAGAGGCAGGCAGAGAGAGAGGAGGAAGCAGGCTCCTTGCTGAGCAGAGAGCCTGACTCGAGGCTCGATCCCAGGACCCTGAGATCATGACCTGAGCTGAAGGCAGAGGCTTTAACCCACTGAGCCACCCAGGCGCCCCGTAAATAATATTTTTTAATAGGAGAGTTGATATGGGTTGACCACCAAGGATTCTGAGAACATTATCTGCAAACTAACACCATCATTTCATAAAATAGAGAACCTTCTCTAACCTTCTAAAATACAGTAAGGAAAGCTCAAGACACCCTTCCAGGAAAGGGGAACGGACATCCTTACCCAATGTTATACACACACTTAAACCTTTAATTTTCTCATTTTACCCCAGATAGGCGGAAAGTCAGCCAAGGCATGACACTAGCCACTGGACCAGATTCTGGGATAAAAAATATAAATTAAGCCATTCTGTAACTTTTAAAGATGTTCTTGGATGTCTTTTTAAAATATATAACATCACTTTTTTTTTTCTTTTTAAAGATTTTATTCATTTATTTGAGAGAGCAGAGCAGAGGGAAGAGGCAGAGGAAGAAGGGACTCCTTGCCAAGCCGGGAGCCCAATGTGGGGCTCGATCCCAGGACCCTGGGACCATGACCTGACTGAAGGCAGACACTCAACCAACTGAGCCACCCAGACATTTCAAAATGTTCTTGAATGTTAACTAGACTTACTGTTATAATAATATAATATATGAGTATTATATACTCATAATATATGCATACACTGAATCATTGTTGTACACTTGAAACTAATATAATGTTTATATTGTCAACTATCCCTTTAAAAAAAAAAGATGCTCTTAAAAAAAATGAAAAAAAAATTCTAGATCCCATTTTAAGAAACACTTAAAAGGGGCACCTGGGTGGCTCAGTCTGTTGAGGATCCGACTCTTGCTTTCAGCTCAGGAGATGGATCAGGCTCCAGGCTGTTGGGATTCCACACTGGGTGTGGAGTCTCCTTAAGATTCTCTCCCTCCCTCTGCCCCCTTCCTCCCTCCCTCCCTCTCTAAAAAAAAAAAAAAAAAAAGAAAAAAAAAGAAAGAAAGGAAAAAATGAGAGATACTTAAAAAAAAAATAAGCCAGCCTGTGGAAAGGGTATGAAAATGTTCAATTAACTGTACTTTTTACTCTGGTCACAGATTTTTAAACATCAGTTATTGCAAACAATTATTAACAATTTCCTGAACTCAAGAATGATTGACCTGGTGCTAGAAAGCGTACTTCTGGTTAGGGAAGGAAGGTAAGTCAAGGGCAGGCTTCTACAACCTTCTGTTCCTGCCCCACAGTGCCTGGCACAGAGCATGGTGCAGCGGGAGCCCCTGGCAGTTGGAACAAGTCATGGTGCCTTCCCCCTGGCCCTCGGGGGCCGGCATCCCTGACAACTGAGGTCTCCTTCCACCCGGTGCAGGGTGAAGACCTGAAGCCTCAGCTCTCTCCGCCTACGAGAGAGGGGATGACTGGCCCAGGCCCAAGTCAGGGACATTGTCAAAGCAAGTCTGGGGAAGTGACAGGAGCCAGCCTTTGTACCCCGGGGTTTTGGAAGGAGGGAGATCAATAGTTGTCTCATCCCCCATTGCCACCACTGGTTACACTAACCTGGGGGTGTTTTCATGGGACTGAGGATTCCTGGATTCTAGTCCCAGCCCTTCTACAACCCTGGACAAATCTCTTCCCTCCTCTGGGTTCCTGCTCCCTCCTTTGCTAGGTATAGAGTCAAGAAGGTCTTAGTGGATCCCCGTGGTGGAGGTCAGCCTCTGACCTCTGCTCCTCTCTGTAGTACTCACATCCAAGTTTATTACAGGAAACCCAGGGAGGTAGGACATGGTGACACTGTGCCTAGTTGGCAAACTCAACATTAGAACCAGGTTTCAGCACAGTAGAGACAGGAGCAGTGTGGTTAAGAACCCTGGGATTCCAGGGGTGCCTGGATGGCTCAGCTGGTTAAGTGTCCAGCTCTTAGTTTCGGCTTAGGTCATGATCTTGGGGTTGTGGGATCAATCCCCAAGTCAGGCTCTGGGCTCAGCATGGAGTCTGCTTCTCTGCCTCTGCCCCTTCCTATCTCTAAAATAAATAAATAAATAAAAACTTTTAAAAAATAAAAACAAAAGAACTCTGGGATTCTAGAATCACCCACACCAGGATTCAAATCCTAAATGTAACACTGTGTGACTGCGTGGCCTCTCCTAGCCTGGGTTTCCTCAGGTGACCATTTTAAGGATTAGATGGGATAATGGCCCTAGAGTGTCTGGCATATTCTGAGAGCTCAAACATTGCCTGAGTTTATTACGCTCTGTCTGGAAAGCAGGGAGAGAACAAAGGCCCTGTAGTGCTTTGGTAGCTCTCCCTCAGACTGGCCTGAAGTAAGATCATCGAGCTCATGAAAAACTGTCTTCTGCCAGATCACCACCACAGAAAGATGAAAAACTCTCCCCCACTAACAGCTTCTGGACCACAGGCAGGCCAGGACTCTGCGCTCGAGTCCCCAGATCCTGACAAAATGATTCCCAGGATTACAGCTTCCAGGGACGTCCAAGACTTATCACCAGGATGCCTGGGTGGCTCAGTCAGTGAAGCGCCTGCCTTCAGCTCAGGTCATGATCCCAGGGTCCTGGGATCAAGTCCTGCCTTGGGCTCCTTGCTTGGTGAGGAGTCTGCTTCTCTGTCTCCATCTTCCTGCCTTTTCCCCTGCTTGTACTCACTCTCTTTCTACTTATATGACTTAAAAAAAAGACTCACCACCATCTGTCCTCAGGCGAACATCCTCTTCTTTCTCCCTATTTCTTTAATAAATATTTGCAAACATCTCCCTCCAATTATAGTAGTAGTAATAATAGATCTATTTATTAATTACTGGAACACTACATATACTTCCTTTTGTACTTTTTCAAATATATTATGAGCCTTTACGATACGGCATTAAGTGTTCTGTAGATACATTAATTTGAATGACTCAAATATTACATTTTTGTGAACGAGTTCAATCATTTAACAATCTGCATGAATACTTCATTTATTTCCATTTCTTAATTTCCAAATTATGCTTTCACTAGTCACTTGCTGATTTATATGATTTTTTTACCCATCCAAAACCACCGGCTTTACCCTCCGTAAAGGTTCTACCCATGAATGCACCCACTGTTGGCGCACGACAAGGACAGTTTCACGGCAGCCCTGCCAACAGGGACTAGTATTACTTCTTAAAAAAAACCTGGCAAATTTGCTAGACCCAAACCAAACAAGCCTGTTGCACTCCTGGCCCCAGTGGGCACATCCCTGTGTTCGAGGCCATCCCAAGGCATTCATCCCAGCATGACGCACCCTCCATGGTTCCTCAGGCTTCCAGACTGAGCACCTGTCACGATTCCTCTCTGTCTCTCCCCAGCACTGAGTTAGTCCCCAGCAGCTCTTTGCCTGGGTGCCTGCTCGGACACCCATGTGGGGATCTACCTGGCTCCCTATGTTTCTCCAACGAGGCCAAGGGCCTCCTTGAGGACAGGGACCATGTTTGAAACCCACTTTGGATTTGTCCCAGCATCCGATATGATGCTGAGAACACTATTTCTAGG